ATCGGTCATTCCTTGTTTTAGATAATCTTCAGACGCCCTCTGCAGATCATGCTGTCCTAAGATTTTGTGCTTATATAGCGTTTGTGGCGGATACTTGTCGACCCATACATAAAAGGTTATCAGAACACAGAATCACCTGCTAAGGTTCACGTATTCAGAAATCAGATGTGGCTGAACATGTGGTCATTACAGGACACCAGATAGGGCGATCTAAATCTCCAGCAAAGCCGTGAATGCTTTCTCTCCTGCGATGTTTAAGTACATAGATTAAATATCAAAACCTGCCAACAATCCTGCTACTTCCATTTGTTTTCGATCCTTTGTGAAAATTCATATGGATTTTTTTGTTTTTTATGACTGATAACCTTGTCATTTGAGCTACAAGCTAAAAGAGTACAGAGAAAATGTAAAGCATTCCTATATTTAAGCATTTATTGCATACTAAGGCAGGATCCAACAAAGAAGTTTAAATGAACGTTAAAAGATGCGCTGAATAAAATGTGGATCAGGAAGGCGACTTTAACAAGACAGATCAATTTTGCGATAAGGTTCGTCCACTTCACATTAACGGCAATGTATGTAAACAAATGTTTCGTTTTATAAGTAGGCTTTCTTGATCATCAGTAGATCATATATCATATGTATTTATCATATTGCGTTTACAGTGATAGTTGAATTTTCTCACAATCATATCAGTAGATCTTAAGTTTCCATACCAAAAGGTATTCTCATCCAGGGTGGACTACAGATTCGATTTCGCCTAGGTCTCATCAGCACCCCATTGGGACTTGAAACAGAATAGTGTGGCTTATTATCTCGATATGCTAAATCATATACTTCACATGTATTTACTATATTTCGTTTAAGGTGATAAGGTAGTTGCATTTTTCTCATAATCAAGATTTCTTCTTCTATACAAGTCACTCCCCGACTCATTTTTGTATCTATGCAAAGCCTGGGTACTATACAATAGCGCGAAGCCCAGCACATTTTCAATGGATATTTTAGATCACTAAACAGGGGTTATTATCCTATTTCATCTTTCATCACAACTAAATTGAACCTCTTAATAGTAAGATACATGATTTTCATAAGCCTGAGGCTAACATATATAGATTTCTTTAAAGAAGAATAGGTCAAATTGATTCAAATATTGTTCCTTTAGGGATACACTACTACTAAGAAATATAAAAGTTTGAGAGATGGTTCGATAGAAATTATAAAAAAGAAATTTGGGAGTAAAAAGACAAACAAAAGTGAATATGGGCTGGTTTCTAGGTTGCATAAGATGATGGACTCAAATAAATTTTCCCGAGTGATATAAGTAGGCCTCACGCTTATATTAAATTTTTTTAATTAGTCCATTGCCAAGCTTGGGACTCCAGGCTTTGTGGTCGGGTTAGCTGAGATCACATCTGTGCTATCGAATGCTTGAGCCACATAACGGGAGTAGCATCCCTAGTATCATGGTTGCGATTGCAGTGACCGTGAGCCAGGTAGATAAGAAACGTATAATCTAGGACATGAGGAGACCATGGTAAAAATTGGTTAGATTAGATTACAGATTGAAATGTTTACGTCGAATCAATGAACTCTGTACAATGTGGTTAGAAAAGTACACCAGTAGAGAGTTTGATTACATCACACTAAACTTGCTCGATAGAACGCACTCACATGTAGGTCTTTATATTTAGCTGTTTCGAAACAATGAAAACTATTACTAAATTATCTTTAGGTAAATATATATTCCTATATCCTTGTTTCTTGATCCTTAGTATTTTACTTAGTGTATACTCTTCCCCAAAATCCTCGTGGTTAGTTAACTTTATGCATTCCTATCCTATGTACATTTCGGTATCGTCCTCAGATATGCCGTGAGGCTGAGGCTGCCATCTTTCATGAACAACTGCGCTCTGATCTTAAGCGAGCTCGTGAATTTCAGGGAATGCATATCACTGACCCGATGCAAACAGCCGCGCATGCTGCTGTAGAGGCAGCCTGCAGAGCACACGCTTCCGCTATCTTCGTAGTCACCTCGACTGGCAAGTGGGTCTTACTTTACTTTTGTTTTGTTGCCAGGATTTCTTTTCATTTTTGGTTCTAAACTATGCTTGGATGCATTACTTTCAACTGCTACACTAATAGTAAAAATCTTCGAGATGTATACGATTTACTTAAAGGAGTTTTTTGACTGAATCAAGTAGACTTCTCTATTGCAAATATCTGTTTTTAAAGAGGTTGTTTGAACTTTTTTTCGCAACTTGGTCATATTGGTAAGAAGACTTAGAGGAACACATCTAGTCCGAAGTCCATTATATGCATGATCATTTCAAAAGTTGGACAGTGGAAGTGGTACATTCCCAGACGTTTCGCCGGGATCGTCAGTGAGTCTTGTCATTCTTAGCACCACACCACAACTCATTAAAGAAACAAGTGAAACCGATCATTTGACCAAACGTGTGCTAAACAGTTGTGGTATCTCTCTTGCCCTGGGCCATTCACAATTCCTATATTCTCGTATTACTACTGTTACCATTTTTACCGTGCTTATTTATATGTAGTGTGATGTGCTCCTTTGAGCGGTATTCATGAAACCCTCCACACTACACGCTGGCGTTCTCATCCCCCCTTCACCCTTGTGTTAGTAATTTTAATCAGAGTCTGCCATATTGTTACGCAGTCCTTCCATAGGTCTTATCAGAGTCTCCCTCTTGCCCCGTAAGATCCGTCTGATATATCCCTGGGTCACGTATTTCACTCGACCTCTGCCACCCTATCTGTGCTACTCGAGGAGTTATTACTCCTCTCCTGCGTCTGGGTGACTAATTCGAGGCTAATGCCTCTGGGTAAGTCTCATGGTCAAGCCTTTGCTACATGGACCACGTCTCTGGTAACACCTACTGTCAGCCAACTAGCTCCAGTCTCCGTCACGTCTATCCTGTTTCTATCTCTATTACCAAGTCTATGACTTGGTATACCCTAGTCTCTTGTGTGCCAACCCACAAATGTTGTGGTTCAACATTGAAACTAATCAATGCAAGCAGTCCCACATTTGTCGGTTATCGCACAAGCGACTAGGGCATAGGAAGTTATAGACTTGGTAGTAGGGATAGAAACAGGATAGACGTGGCGAAGACTGGAGCTAGTTAGTTGACAGTAGGTTTTACCAGAGACGTGGTCCATGTAGCACAGGCTTGACCATGAGACTTACTCAGAGGCTTTGGCCTCGAATTAGTCACAAAGACGCAGGGGAGGGGTAATAACGCCTCGAGTGGCACAGATGGGGCTGCAGGGGTTGAGTGAAATACTTGAAGCCAGGAGAGAGCAGACGGATTCTGCGGGGCAAGAGGGAGACTTTGATAAGACCTAGGGAAGGAGAACTGCGTAACAATATGGCAGACTGATCAACATTCCCAGCACAAGAGTGAAAGGGGGGGTGATAACGCTTGTGTAGAGTCTGCAGGGTTTTCGTGAATACCTCTCAAAGGAGCACACCACTACATCTACATAAGCACGGTAAAAATTGTGACAGTGAAGGCGTGATACAAGGATATAGTAAGTGTGAATAGCTCAGAGCTGAAGGGGAGATTCCAGAACTATTTAGCACATGTTTGGTTAAAGGATCGGCTTCACTTGTCTCTAACGAGTTGTAGTGTGGTGCAAAGAATGGCAAGACGATGCCAGCGAAACGTCTGATAATGTACCGCGTCCACAGTCCGACTTTGGAAATGATCATGCATATAATGGAATCCGGACTATGTGCATTCCTCTAAGTCTTCCTACCAATATCCTGTCTTCTTTCATAGTAGTCCTAATAATTTTAAGTATTGGACCATTGATTTGGCACATTCCCAGACGTTTGATCGGCATCATTAGTGAGAGGCTTTAACCTTAGTACAGAGTTACTACTCGTATAAGTGGTCAGTGAAAGCAATCCTTATGACCAATTTAAAGCTGTTGTGCCATTTCTCTCCCCTCTACGTGTTTGCAAAGCGCCTAAAAATGTGCTAAGTAAACAGTCAGATGCTGGAACTTATCATAACTATGGCTGAGGGCAGGACTGGGTGTGTTCCACAAGGATTCCCTGTTGTCTCGGCTAAGTTGCGAAAACTGGGTCAAAACAATACTATATATCTAAAGGATATTGCGACGTAATCCGGAGCCCAAACATTTTCGTCTTTTTTATCTACTGTGATGTTTTTTCGATAGCTGCCCGTCATTGTAAAACTTTCCCCCGCTTATAATTTAGTTGCTATCTTTAGTATAAACTCTGGATCTTATTGACTTTTTCACGCTGCTCATACTTAGAT